GAAAGCCAAGATGATTCTTTGAGAGACAATTTATTAAAATTTAAGAGCGATATTGCTTATTTAACTGATTTATATGATAAATTTATTGAAACAAACCTACAGCTACAAGGTAACAATTTGAATTTGATCAAAGCAAAAGGAACTATTTGCTCGTTCGTGTCAAAACTTAATTTGTATAGGCAAAATTTGGGTCGGAGACAATTTCATCAGTTTCAAAATCTTTCCTCTGTGGAGACAAATGATGAAGACATTCTGGTATATTGCCAGCATTTGGAAGCACTTCAAGAAGATTTTGGGAATAGATTTCAGGATATCATTGGTCTGATTATTCCAGATTGGGTGCTAGAACCGTTCTCAACTTTAGAAACAGTAGAATTATCATTAGAGGAGGAATTGATAGAATTGTTAACAGATGAAGAGTTAAAAGTGAAATTTAAAAATGGATATCAAGAGTTTTGACTGCAATGTCAAATTTCAGTATTATATCCAGCTTTATGGGCTGCATCAAAGAAGTTGTTCATTGCCTTTTCTTCATCGTATTTAGCCGAAAGAGGATTTAGCATAGTCAGCAATTTATTAACAAAGAAGAGAAATAGACTGTCCATAGTGGAGCGCGGTGATTTAAGATTGCTGATGACAAGTATGGAACCAAATATTGACAGATTACTATCATTACATCAAGCTCAGCCTTCTCATTAAAAATGTTATATTATTATTATATTGTTTTTTATGATATGTATTTAAGTTAAAGTTTGATCAATACATGAATACTGTATTTTTGAATAAAACACTTTTTAAATTTGTTGCTTGGATTATTTAAGGGGCCGTCGAATCATTTTTAAGGTAGCCTTTGACCCAAAAAAGGTAAAACAATTCTGAATGAAAGTGCGTTACTAATTTTAAGAATGGAAATTTTTTTAAAGGGGGCGTTAAGTATTTTGTTTTTGGAAAAATGGGCGGTAGGTCGAAAAAGGTTGGAAACCACGGCTCTATATGTTACTGAATTACTAATACTGGTATTTTCTTATTAATAACTTCCTCTTTCAATATTGGTAACCAGATCCTACTACATTCTGCCGAGGAATTTGCGACACAATTGGCCTCATTTAGCATAATTAGAGCCGCTTCTTTGATTTTTCTTTTTTTACCATCCGTTTCTTTTAGGACTATATTTGAATTATTCCATTGAACTCTATGTTCATTATCCCATGCGTGTTTACATATTTGAGATCTATCAAATTCTCTATTTTTAATATAAGATTGATGTTCACTTATTCTAACATTTAATGGCCTTGATGATTCACCTAAATAAAACTGATCGCATTCACAAGGTATTTTATAAATGCAATTCTTTATCCTTTCTTGTTCATTGTTAGGTTTGGTTTTGGACAAAATAGATCTCAACGTGTTTGTTGTTTTGAATGTTGTTGAAATGTTGAATTTATTTCCTACCCTTTTAAGTTTTTCTGATAATCCTTTTATGTACGGTATTGTTATTTTCCTCATATTATTCCTTGTGTATGCTGTAGGATCTCGTTCTAAGTTGTTCTGTTCTATTCGATCGATTGTTGAAAATTCCTTATTTATAAACGATAAAGGATAATCATTTTTTAATAAAACAGATGTTAACAAATGTTTCTCCTCCAAGAACGAATTTTCGTTAGAACAAGTAATTTTGGCTCTATCGTATAAGGATTTAATTATTCCTTTTTTACATTAATATTGTGATTTGATTTGAAATTTAAATATCTATTGGTGTGTGTTGGTTTTCTATACACCTGAGTCTCATATCCAGTATCGTTCTTAGAGATCAAAACATCCAGGAAAGGTAGCGTGTTATTATATTCCTTTTCCATGGTAAATGTTATTGTCTCTTCTTTATCGTTTATATCGTTTAGGAATGTGTCCAACAACTCTGATCCATGAGGCCATATTGAGAATACATCATCTACATACCTCCACCATACTGTGGGTTTGAAATTTTGTTTAGAAATGATATTTGTTTCAAAATCTTCCATAAATATATCGGCTAAGAATGGAGATAAACTAGAGCCCATTGCTAGACCAAAATTTTGTTTATAGAATTCATTATTTAGTTGAAAATATGTATTATCAGTACATAATGTTAATAACTCCATTATAGCCGATATGTTTAGTCTTGTTCTAGTTGCCAATGAATCATCACTCTCTAATTTTGTCTTGACTATACTTAAAGTCTTATTTAATGGCACATTCGTAAATAAACTATTTATGTCAAAACTTACCAAAGTATTATTTGAATTAAATTCAATATTTGATAATTTATTTAAAAAATGTTGTGTATTTTTTATGAATGTGTCATTTTTATTTGTATAAGGTTTTAAAATATTTAATAAAAATTTTGATAGTTCACTACAAGGAGAATTTATGGTACTACAAATGGGTCTAAGTGGTATATTCGTTTTATGAATTTTCGGTACTCCATAAAAATGAGGAGTCTTACTGTAATGAGGTGTAATTAATCCCCTCTGATAACTTATTCCCAGTTATAAATAGTAATTAATTTACAATGCCACAAGAAAATAGCTTCAGAACAAAGTATTGCCTTATCTCGTGGTGACCTTGTTTTTTGCCAGATTTTCCTAAGTCTCCTTTTGTTATCGATTTAATGTTTAATAAGTGTTCGTAATTTATGATTATTGTCATACATACAACTAAATGAGTAAATGTTCTACGACTGCGTCGATTTGGCAACTAGTTTTTAGTAGGATATTTGGTTGCAGTTTTTCATCTAAGATGGATCTTAAATAGTTCCATGTAGTATAGTTATTGCTGAGAAACGTTGGATTATCTCTTATAACTACTTCAGAATTTACTGTTATTAAAACATAAGGTGGTCGAAAGTTAAGTCAAACAAGACTTTTCAAACACAAGTATTTTTATTAGGATGCATTTGGTAACAAAGAAATCGAGCAGATCAGGCATTTTGTCTCTGTTATTTTGCATAGTTCTTAAGAGCTGTCTTCCATTAGTGTTTATGATCCTAGATATCTATACCATATACTGTAGCGTTCGTATTTTTTTTTTCATTTTATTTTTTTGTTAAAACTCATACTACTATAGATAGGTCTTTATGATAAATTGATTAAATTTATACTTTATTTACAAATAATAATAATAATGAAAATATTTTTTTTGTTACAGCCTCAAACCGTATCGTTCAAATGTGTAGATCAATTGCATCGTTCTATCGTATCGTTCAACCTCGTCATACAAAGTAACGTGTAAAGGTAAGAGTATATTTGTGGTGGAGCTGCAATATAGATTTTGTCCGATAAATTGGTTGTAACTAGATGTTAAATAATAATTTTTAAATGATAAAATTAAAATAAGATCGTTTTACAAACAAAATATATATGAAATAAAAATATCTACTTATACTATTAAGTTAGGAACTCCACATTTGAAAGTATCTGATTATAATGCTACTATGTGATTGTTAAAATGAGATCACATACAGTTTTTGGGTCAATACGTTGACCAAATCTTGAAATTTTCGGATATCAAGATTTAGTTGTGCAAGGCTGATCCGAGTGCTTCCCAATAGCTGTCTAAAATAAGAATTTTAACATTAAGAAAGAAAAAATGAGAAGACGAAGAAGAAGAGGAAACAAACAACAATACGAAAGAAGTCGACCAGTGAAATTATACGAGGACTACAGAAATATAAATGTTACATTTTAATATCCTATACATAGTTTCACGTTTTACCAAGTTGTTGGTTTTCGCCACCAGGTACTTTCGGTACTAAGTTAGTACTAATAGTCCATCTTTCTATTATCAAAATTCTAGTTTTTGACAGCTAAAAGGTTGACTTATAGGAACTGTTTTGTGATGGTGTGGATACATGTCAGAATGTGTTGGTCGTCGTCTAAAATGGACTTTCGGCGTGGTATCATAACGCGACGTGTATCGTGGATCGTGAATGGAGCTGTATATGGGAGCACAACTTACCAACAGAGGCAGAACAAAAAATTAGGTAAGTTATTTATAACTGCATAGAATAATTATTAGTATGTACATTACGGCATACCCTCTGACGGTGAGACCCGAACCTGTAATTGGGGTACCCTTCAGTATTGTGGACAGATTCGATGTAAATATCAGAATTGAATTGTTTTCAAATGCTCCATTGTCTGATTCTTTTGGATCCACGATGGTAATACAATAAAATGTTAAAGTCGTAAATTTCCCTTTTTATTTTTGAAATATTTTAAAACCTCACATTAACATTAGTAAATATATTTAATATACGCAAAAATGCTAAATTTTAAAATAAAATGAAAATTTACAACATAATCCGAGTTGTTGGTTTTTTATTTTTATCTTCGTAAAGTAAGTTATGTATATTTTCAGTTTTAAATACTTATGAATATTGAATTTAAATTTAAATTGTATTATTATATTGAGTTATGTTGCAGTGTATTTATTGTATTGTAATTTTTATATAAATAACAAAATAAACAATGAATTTTACTGCAGAATATGTGTAAAAATATATTTTTGCATTCAACTCCTTTTATACATATATGAAAATAAAAATATATATTTTCATTAAAATATTGATACAATCCTTTATTTACTATACTCCTATTACAGGTCAAATGTTTATACACAGCAAACGATGCACCATATACCTATATAACTAATTCTTTTTCTCTTTCTGCTTTCGCTCTCTCTCTCTCTCTCTCTCTCTCTCTCTCTCTCTCTCTCTCTCTCTCTCTCTCTCTCTCTTACCTATAGCATTACATATGTAGTTATATGTTCCTATACTTATTAAATCTTATCAAATTAGTATTTTACTTAAACTGGTTTCAAATACTTTTATTAACGCAATCTAAGAAGTAAAAGACGAAGTGCTCATTTTGTCCGCGCGCGACTAATAGTTTTCATAAATTTGTAGCTACCGCTAAGGGGTTAAGACAATATTGATGTAAAATTTTTTAACACTTTATACTTACCTTAAAAGTATATAAATATCCGGGATCATCGTGCATTAAGTATGGCCACCAAAAGTGTGCATCTTTAATTTCAAGTACTCCATTATCCGTGTTACTTTCACCAACTACTTCGTTATTCGCATCCAAGATACTTATCTTATAAGAAAGTTCAGTTTCGTCTCCTTTAACGGTAGTCTTATAGGAAACTAGTCCTAAAAACATACATTTTATAGATATTTAATAAGTAATTAAATGAAAATCCTCCACATATTTCATATTAGAATATTGTGAATCTTAATAAAATAATGTTATGAAAATCTATAATAATTTAATAATAATAAAAATTTAATCTAATAATTTTCTTCTTGAAATATTCTGACTTAATAACTGACAGCGCTTTCACACTAAAATTAAGCTTCCTTTAGTCTTTATATTTCACTCGAATTATTTCTGTGAAAGCGATATATTTGATAAAGTGGTCAAAAATATTGTAACCATTTCAAAAGTTTAAAAAATGTATTATTATAATTTCTAGTAAATATTCAAATTATTGTTGCTCACGTCATCTATTTGCCGAGTGCAGAAGCACTTAAATTACCTCAACGATTCAAATGCATTTTATAATAGTTATTTATCTTTCCTTTCTCTCTTTGAGCGTCCAGCATACAGGACGAAATCTTATTTGAGTGGTCTCTTGACGAGGTAATACAAAAAATGGCTTTTTTCTTTTATATTTCAAATAAATATTTATTTTGACCCTTACCGGGAGCACTAATAGTTAACAGAACTATGTTTATTGGCCCGAGGTTTTCTAAATAGCTATGGATTTATAGTATGTGTTCTAAAACCAGAATATATAGTTGGTCGCTGTTACATGACACCCTCAGAAATTCGGAGGATTACCGTTATTTAGTATAAGTGGCTTTTGTAAAGTATTCCATTTATTTTTTCACCCCCATGATATAGATTTTTATGGTGGATATTATGTTTCTGTTGCTGATATATTTAACGTTCCGAAATCCCAGCCTTAGTACATAGTTGGCAAAAATTATATCCTTTCTTCAAGTCACACAAGCATTTGGATAATTAAGATTGTAAATTTTTGTTATTTTTTTTATCAAACACTTAATATTATTCACGAACTAAATATCAGTGATGTGATTTATTATTGGTCTTTTAATTACATAAATATCTACATAATACATAAATACCGTCTATATAATAGATTTTTTATGTGAAGCAATTTCGAAATTTGGGATAGAGTATGATTTTATTTTCATATAAGTATTTCTCAATTATAATCTAATGCCAAGATATAAAATATTTGTTTTCTATGTTATGTTATGTAATGTTATATATTTCAAATAAATATATATTTTTGACCCTTACCGAGAGCACTAATCGTTAACAGAACTATGTTTATTGGCCCGAGGTTTTCTAAATAGCTATGGATTTATAGTATGTGTTCTAAAACCAGAATATATAGTTGGTCGCTGTTACATGACACCCTCAGCAATTCGCAGGATTACCGTTATTTAGTATAAGTGGCTTTTGTAAAGTAATTTATTTGTTTTTTCACCCCCATGATATAGATTTTTATGGTGGATATTATGTTTCTGTTGCTGATATATTTAACGTTCCGAAATCCCAGCCTTAGTACATAGTTGGCAAAAATTATATCCTTTCTTCAAGTCACACAAGCATTTGGATAATTAAGGTTGTAAATTTTTGTTATTTTTTTTTATCAAACACTTAATATTACCCACGAACTAAATATCAGTGATGTGATTTATTATTGGCCTTTTAATTACATAAATATCTACATAATATATAAATACCGTTTATATCATTTTTTTTATGTGAAGGAATTTCGAAATTTGGGATAGAGTATGATTTTATTTTCATATAAGTATTTCTCCATTATAATCTAATGCCAAGATATAAAATATTTGTTTTCTTAGTAAATAATTTTAAGGTAGTTTCGTATAAGCACTTCTTATTCGTAATTTTGTAATTGGAATACCTAAACAGAGACTCTTTATTTCTTTTCCGGAATGACGTAATACTACTCGAAATTTTTCATTTTATTTCTTTTTTATGTACCAAGAAGAAATTGTATGTAATCGTAATTGCACCAATCGCAATGATATGATAAACGCATTTAATGCGATAGAAAGAGCGGCACAAAACAGTGGCCTGCACATTAACGAAATAATAACCAAATACATGAAGGCCAGCAAATCGACAAGCCAAAGAAACAAACAGAATCTGACAATAGCAGACTATAACATCAAAAGCATGAAAAATTCTACATATCTAGGAGAAGAATACATATCGCTAATAAAACATATAATGGACTAATTAAACATTTAAGATATAACATCACAAGAAAAACCAAATGCAAAATATACAAGACCCTGATAAAACCAAACCGGTCCTTGTATATGGATCAGAGACATGCACACTGTCGAAAAGCGATGATAACCTATTAAGTATATTTGAACGAAAAATCCTTAGACACATATATAAGGGTGTAAAGGAAAATGACATATGACGCAGAAGATATAACTTTGAACTAGACACAGCATACAATGAACCCGAGATCATAACATCTATAAAGACCGGACGTCTACGCTGGATGGGCTATGTTGAACGGATGTTGGAGACTGAAATACCAAAACATATAATGAGGAAAACACTAGTAGGGAGAAGGTCAAAGGGAAGACCCAAACTTAGATACATGGAACAGTTGGAACAAGATCTGAAAACACTTAAGGTTACCAACTGGAAAAACAAAACAAGGAACAGAACAGAATGGCGGAAAATCCTAGAACAACCCAGGACCCAGAAAGGGTTGTCGAGCTACTGATGATGATGATGATGATGATGCTGATGCTGATGCTGATGATGATGATGATGATGATGATGATGATGATGACAAGTATGTCGTTAATTAATAATAAACGGGATAATTCAATAATTATTATACTTCTCATCCTCCCCCTTCCACTATTTTTCCCTTATCTCGAAAAATATCGACCGCACGAAAAAAATTGTAAAAACAAAGTTGTAGGAAATCGAATATCCAATCATCTTAGTTATAACCGTTTTTATCAAAAGGTGAATATTTATGTGGAAACGCATTATTAGCTACAAAACTCGCATTTTCAGGCAAAGTAAGTCGAGGTTTTGAGAAATAATGGTTCTACTTCAAATTTAAGATGGTGCCTAAAGGCGCGTTTTCATGGGTCGATTTGGGTTGAACGATTTGGATCGTTCGACGATAATTCGATCTGTGCCGAAAGCAAAAAGATTTACACGGCAGGCGATACATGTTCAATTAATTGTAGTACAAAATGGCGTCACGTGAAAATCTAATGTAGGTGTGCAATTAATTTGTTATGCAATTACATGACCCGACCATGGATTTTAAGACGAAATACTTATGGTGCATTACAAAGCCTGCTTCAAGAAATGGTTGTGGAAGATTCAGGGCTTCAGGGTTGTCAAGCATTACCTACAATGCTGAAATTGCAAATAGCTCTTCGATTTACAGCCACTAGAGACAGCTATGCGTCACTCAAAGCCTTGTATCGGGTACCAAAATGTTCAATATCTCTATTTTTGCCTACTTTTTTTGGACTACTAGCACAAAATGTATGTTGTGTCAAAATAAAAAAAAATTATCTACCCACCATGTTTGATTGGTTTTTTCTGCTTCCCATCGTTACTGTTCTCAGAAAACTATCAGCATATTTAAACCAAATTATAACTCGTACATATAAGTCGTCAGTTCCAGAACTACTCTTTAGTGATTTCAATACTGCTCAATTCACGATTGTATGTTGTTCTAATATTTTTGATTTTATTTTTTAAGTAATTTTTAGACGTTTTGGGTTTATTTGTATGTTGTAGAATTGCTTCCAATGCGGCTCGCCTCGCTTGTAGCTTGCGATAAAGCTCGGTTTGTAGATTCTATAATACAACATTGTTTTGATAGGCATCCAAAAATCTTGCTATGTCTGCATCTGACCATTTTTCAGTCATTTTTTCCCAAAACTACAGCTTGTTGCACTAAAAACAACAAGTTTATACACGCTAGAAATAGTCTACTCAGCTTTCGGCACGTTGTGTTTCTGTTCAACGAGGTGTTTACACATTCGATTCCAATCGTTCGACATTGATTCGACGACAATCGCCTATCAAAAGTAGACAGTCTTTCCAGTTCCTTCGGATCGACTCACTCCGCCAAACGGCCAAGTCTATTTATGATTTACATATTCAGTTTGCTTTCGATTTAATAATCGATCTAAATCGTTCAATCAAGATCGACCCGTGAAAACGCGCCTTTACGCAACGTTTGGATTTAGTGGTGGTTTTAAATTTACACTCCTATTGGCCGCATTATTGCAAGGTTAGGCCTTTTTTGTCTAACCCGACTTGCCTATAAATGAAATTCAAAAATATCTGACTAACTCAGGAATGCGTTTCTCAATTCTAACTCCGCATCATGTAATCTGATTTTAACGAATTCCTCAGTTACATCTATTTATTGACATTGTTTCAATAGCTGTGATGATATTATTATACTATTGTTTATGATTTTTAAAAGTTAACTATATACGTTATATTTCAAAACTGATGCTTCCAGTTCTCTGACAATAGATTCGAATTTAACAAAATGTTGGTTCAAACTACCTTACCTTTGAATTTTAGAAATGGCAACTTTCTTTTTAAATAAAGTTTTGAAAAAAAACTTTTTCTTTCGCTACCTTTCTCTAATGAAATCATTTCGTTTAAGTGTTTGCATTTTTTGCGTACACTAAGTATTTCCCTGTTAGGCATTCGATTAAAATTGATTTCGCGACATTTTCCTTCATCTAATGCATTTGATCTTCTTCAGCTCTTTTTGCTATTCGATTTTCTACAATGTATTTTACTATCTTACTCCTATCTCTCAAATGAAACTCGAACTCTGAATGCTCAATAATTCGAAAATTTTTCACTTGATAGCAGCGCGAATTCTTAGGGATTGTAATCATTTTAAGAGTCTCTCAAATTATTTCTTCTAAATGGTACTTTCAAACAATTTTACTTTAAATATTTGGTAACAATAAAACACTGAAAACGTTGTTTTCAAACTTCCACAAAAATTTATTTTAACTCACTACAGCTGTTTCGGCTGATTGCCTTTCTCAAGTGTCCACTTTCAAAAGTTTTCAGTGTTTTATTGTTACATAAAATGAATTTCCATCAAGTAACGATCGAATTTTACCTATTAAAAATATAGAAAAAATGAAAAATTATAGTTTGGTCAATTTCATCACTTTTTATAAAATAAAAGAATATTAATCATTTAAAACGATAAATTCAACAGTTGACAACATGGATCACCAAGCCAAAAATTCTGAAATATTTATACGAGTTTTAAAAATTATGAATGGTGTTACGTCTACTTAAATAAAACAACCTACCTTTATCTCCATCTACGGTAGTAATAATATTAATGTCGTCTATATAGGTCTGTGAAGTCGTATACAAGACTACTGGTCTATCAATTCCTCCATAGTTAAAAAAATCGAAGGTGTATTTGAGTTTTTTCACTCCGCTAAAATATAATGTATTATTTAACATAAAAATCTAGACAACAATCTTTTAATAATTATATATTATAAAAAATTATATTTTAAATAATTACGCAAATATTTTTGGTCCAAGTAAAATGGGCAATGTTTGCACCGAAGCAGAATGGAATATTCTTTATAGTTTGGTTTCAGTACAGGAAAACATTCGCGAAATTAGAAGGACTCTAGAAATCGGATTCATTCGCTGATTTGTATATTTAAAAGTAATTAATATGTGTTAATGTGTGTGCAATGTTCACTGTTAAGTTCTTCTCCTTCTTTTTCTTCTTCTTTTTATATAGACATGACTCTGTTTTTCAATGTGCTTCTAGTGAGTTGTCACTCTAACGTTTTCGTAGTCTTCCTACTGATCGTCTTCCTATTGGGGAACCGTCTATTCCACTCTTGTATTTCTTACCCAGTTTTTTATGTTTTCCACCTTGCATCTACGTCGTATATCTGTACTTCTAGCTCTGTCTAATAGTGTCTTACCATAAATTTTTCTAAGTGTTTTCATCTCTTCCGTTTCTAACATCCTTTTTGTCCTCTCTGTGTCAGGTCTTGTTTCTGTCGCGTATGTCATTATTGGTCCGATGACTGTTTTGTAAATTTTGCCTTTCGTTGCTTTTCCGATATTTTTATTTCCCCATATTGTTTCATTTTTTCCCCATTTATTGATTTTCCACTTCGAGCAGGTTTCGAGCTTTCGTAGCTAGATAATGTGATGCCTAGATATTTAAACTCCGTCACTAGTTCTATTATCTGACCTTCCAGCTCCAATTTACATCTTAGTAAATTTGCTGTTGTAACCATGCATTTTGTCTCATTTGGGGAAATTAACATGTTAAATTTTCTTGCGGTTATATTAAATTGGTGCAGCATACGTTGTAAATTATCTTCACTTCGAGATAGTAGTATTGCCTCGTCTGCATAGCAGATTATTTTAAGTTGTTTTTCTCTCATTTGGTATCCTTTTTTAGTTCTTAACTATAACTGTTAACTATATTTGTGATGTGATCTTTAACACTAGAATATTGTTTTTTACACCTACTTAGCTAGAAGATGAGCCAAGGGTAAAAATAAGGCTTTAATCGTTTGAAAATTCATTCATCAACCAGCCATGTTAGCAATGTTTTAGAGGCTATAACTTCATTTTTTAATACCATTTATACCGGCGGATAACTACCTAATGGTTGGTCTAATTCACTGTTTATAGCTCTACCTAAGAAGACAACAGGAAAAACCTGTGCTAATTATAGAACTATCTTAAAGTTTGTGAAACCACTTATTAAAAATTTTTCTGATCGTATCTACAATAAATACGAGGAATACCTGGATGACACTCAGTTTGGTTTCCGTAACGGGATTGACTTCCAAAAGGCATTTGATCGTGTTAGGCACTCTATATTGATCGAAGCTCTAAAAGACATTGGCTTGGACGGCAGAGATGTTCGAATAATTGCAAATTTATATTGAAATCAAACAACATCAGTTTTAGTAGATGGTGTGGAATCACAGGCTCTCAATATTAAAAGAGGAGTAAGGCAGAGAAGCCTCTTGTCACCCCTGCTTCTCAACGTTTACTCCGAAAGAATTTGCAGATAAGCACTTTCTGAAAAACAAGAAGGAATACTTGTGAACGATGAAGTCATCAATAATTTGCGATATGCACACGATACGGTACTCCTAGCTTCTAGTCAAGAAGATCAGCAAACACTACTTGATAGTGTCGTTGAGAGTTTTCGGGAGGCCGGTCTGGACCTGAACATACGGAAAACCAAAATACTCGTAATAAGTTAACAACAGCATATAAAACCGTCTATATATGTAAATAATGCCAAACTTGAGCACGTTGATAAAATCATTTACCTTGGACAGCAATTAAATTGTAACGCAGAAAGTGACGACGAAATTAGATCTAGGATAGAGCAGGCTAGAGCTGTTTTTAGAAGGATATCCAAGGTGTTATGTAACAGAGACCTAAAAACTTTTCTGGGTGCAGAAGATTTGAAACTCCACAATACTATAACGTGTCAGCAAGACTACTGAGATCATAAAAAGCATCAAGCAGAGAAAGCTGGAGTATTTCTGACATGTAATGAGAGGTCCCAAATATAGGTTGCTACAAAATATCATGCAAAGAAAAATAGCACGCTAACGCAGTCCAGGACGAAGAAGAACATCATGGTTGAAGAACTTGCGAGATTGGTATGGTGTTGATAAAAGCATGCTATTTAATGTAGCAGTGAATAAAATTAAGATAGCTATGATCTTAGCATATTGTTACGATTTTAAATGTTATGGCATATAGAACTGTAAATATTTTATGACTAATTCTTTTTTATTGATTCTCGTAATTTGTAGGTCAAAATATACCTGAGCTTCGCTACCAGTTGTTTACAGAAATCTCTAGACACTAATTTTAGTGAGTCATCCACGTCTCGAGGTTGAAAAACGAGTCGAGCGCCTTCACCAAAATACGAGATCATTCCAGTATTTTCGACAATGGTCAGGTCAGGTCTAGGCGGTCTTACGGTTCTTTATATAAGGACGAAATTTTATTGAAGGGGTCAGTCATAAGAAGATCGGTAAACGCGGTTTACTTGTAACGAAACGTGAAACAAATACATTTGTAAAGTTATTTAATAAATTAGTAATTAGCTATCGTGAGTTTTAATAAATTAGATTATAGACAATAAATTAGAATAAAGACAAATAAATTAGAACAATATAAATATATACCACAGTGGTGTCGGTGTGGGATTTGAATATAAATCAAACAGTGATTTTTGAAAAAGACTTTTGAATTCTTGAAAAGACTTTTGAACTTTTGAAAATTATTGTTCATCGGGAACATCCGCGTATTTCGGTAGTGATCGTTGTACGAAAGAACATTTAAAAAAGTACGTGTGTGCTTGACCAAAGATGCTGCTAGTAGAACTTTCAGTGAAACAGTTGCGTGAGCAACTAGAAGAACGTGATGAAGACTGCAGCGGGTCCAAGAAGATACTCCAAGAACGACTAAAAAATGTTCTTAGCAAGAATGGAGATGACCCAGAGACATTCCATTTTCAGTCAGTAGAAGAAGCCGTTTTAACTAAAATAATTGATGGAAAATTCGAGACTGTTTCCAAAAGATTCGATGAAACGTCTCAAAAGATCGAAGAGAGTTCTAAAAAAAATGATGAAAGATTCAATGAAACGTCTCAAATTATTAAAGAAGTAGCTAGACAAAACGACGAGAAACTCGAAAATGTGTCAAAAAGATTCGACGAGAAATTTGAAAATGTTTCTCAAATGATGGAAGAAACTTCGAAAAAGAATAATGAGAAATTTGAAGAAGTTTCCAAAACATTCGAAAAAGTAGAAGAGAAAATCAAACAGTTAGAGACCATGATAACTAACACGAGAGTGGTACCACCAATTAATACGGTAGCTTTAGATCCGGTATATATAAAAGAAGACGAGACAAAATGTAAGTTGGAAACACGGCCGAAATTTGAAGGAAGCGGAGGTTATGTTCATGTCAAAGTCCCAACTTTCGATGGAAAATCGTCATGGAACAACTACATGAAGCAGTTCGAATCAGCTGCAAGAGCGAATGGATGGTCTGAAAAAGAAAAGGCTGTAAACCTAACTATCGCTCTTCGAGGAGATGCCTTAGATGTGCTCCAGACCATAGCCGTAGAGGAGACGGATGATTTTGAACAACTTAAGAAGAGGTTAAATATGCGATATGGCCACGAACATTTGGAGCATGTATATCAGTCGCAGCTTAAAAATCGAAGATAAAAGAAAGATGAGGCCCTTCAAGAATATGAGGTAGATATTGCCAGATTAGTGCGATATGCTTATCCAACAGCTCCCGAAGACATGATGGAAAAGTTGGCCGTTCAAACGTTTATTGATGGTCTTCGTGATCATGAAATGCAGAGAACACTACGATTAGCTCGTCACAAGACGCTGATGGATGTCTTATCTGCCGCCCTCGAATACGAGTCAGCTACGCAGGCCTCTGGCGGGTATAGCAAAGTTAGGACTGTAAAAGAGGAAGGAGATGAAGATAAACTTGACCAGCTCGTTAATATGATGAAAAGCATCACATACAAGAAAACGAAGACCATAAGATGCTGGAATTGTGGCGAAATAGGACACGTACGAAGTTCCTGTAAGCATCCTAGGTACGACGCAAATCAAGAAACTCACCATCAGGAAAACTAGAACGGGTCAGCCTTAGGGGGGCAGCTTCGACCCAGAACTTTTCCAAAGACCCTCTCATACTAATAGCTTCTTTGAAATGTCGTGAAGATAGTGTATATGTAGATGGAGAAATAAATGGTAAAAAGCATACGTTGTTGGTGGATACGGGAGCGACCAGAAGCATTATTCGCCCGACAGTTATAAACAGCCGTAAGAAACTGTTACCAACGAGGTTGCGACTGCGGACCGCTACAGGTGAAAATGCTAACATTCATGGAGAAATCCAGGTACAATTAGGAATTGGAGCAGAAAAGTTCGTCCATACTGTTATAGTTGCTGACATCGAAGAGGATGTTATATTAGGAATGGACGTAATGAATACGCATGGATTCCAATTGGATTTTAAAAATAAAGTAATCAAAGTTGGTAACGAGGAGGTATTTCTCCATCCACATGATGACAACACTATGCAAGCAGCCGTTAAAGAAGATACAGTCGTGCCTGCGAGAAGTGAAACAATCATAGTAGCGCGGCTACAGGGAATTGTGGACGAAGGGTCACCTGTTATGATGGAGCCTTGGAACCATGACGACGAAGTTGGCCGTGGAATCATAATTGGAAAGGAATTGGTGACCTCGGCTAAAGAAATTCCTGTTAGACTTATCAATGTCAATGACTACCCAGTGACCATCAAGAAAGAGACAAAAGTAGGAACTTGTGTACCTGTGACATCCATAATCCGTCAGACGACAACGTCTGATAATTCCAACGACAAATTTGATCA